AGAAAGGCATGCCAATGATTAAGCATTGTGACCAAGATAAAGTGTTGCATGATGAAGCCCTGAGATTACGTTTTGATGCCGAAGGGAGGGAAATCAATTAATTAAATGTGCAAACACATGATCTTTACTTAGATTTTGATTCAAGAAGATCCTAAAAAGAAATGTCTTGGCATTTATGAGACTTGGAAATTGGAACATTTGCTGGATTTATAAACATTTAAATACTTGAATTAATTCACAGTTTTATTATTTTATAAAATGATTACTTTTAAATGTGATAGTGACATACAGAATGAAGAGGATCAGAGTATACAGAACAAAGTGTATTCTAATTGCTTCAAATTAACCTGGGAGCAAAGAAGTGGAGGAAGGTCTGAAGGAACAAGATTTGCCTTGAGCTGAGAATGACTTTGGTGCTGGAGGAATTGCTTCGCTATCTTCTTATTTAGGCCATACTGTTGAGCTATAGTTGCTACACAAAAGGAGGGCACGTTTCAAGTGTCCTGCTTGTCCTCTTGTATAAATTGGGGGTGGAGGGAGGTGGAGGATTTGAGGGCCACACCATGCAGTGCTCTATGGTTACTCCTGGCTCTGCACTCACTCAGGAATTTCTCCCGGCAGTACAGGGGAGACCATATGGAATGCCGGGAATCAAACCCAGGTCGGCCACGTACAAGGCAAGCGCCCCACCTGCTGTACTCCCGTCCCCTTGTATACGTTTTTTATATAATAAAAGTTGGAAGACAAAGATTATCACTGTGATCAACCTATCTTTTCTGAAAGATATATCTTTTTAGAAAACAAGAACATGATCATAGATGCATCACTTTCCTTTCCCAAGGACTATGTAGGACATCATTTGCAGTCCCGGAAGACCCTCAGGAGGAGACCCCGTGGTTGCAACTGCCTTCCAAGGGTTCTCTGCACCACGTACTTCTAAGCGGGGAATTGAAGCATTCACATAACATTTCTGGAAAAACATGGGGTTTTTCAAAACTGCTTTATTTTTGTTTTTATTGAGGCAAAACATTTTAGCAATAGCCATTCTAAGCCTACACTTCAGTACCTGTGGTACACCCATTCCACCATCTACTTCTAGGATACTACACTACCACTCTCTGTCTTAGTCACAATTAACCCACAATATGTGCTTCAAGTTTGGCTTTTCTGAAGGTTTAGTATAAACAGAACCAGACAAGAAGTCATCTTTTATGTTTTCTTTCCCTCAGCATAACATTCTTAAGTTTCACACATATTTTTCACGCAGTTCACCTCTCATCTGTTAGAAATATTCACCCGTTAGTCTGTGTGAGCAGTTTTATTTGCTCCTGGGAAAACCCCTAGGAGTGAATTTTCTGAGTTTCTAACTTTCTTTACTTTTGGCGTCACACCCCGTGATGCACAGGGGTGCTCTGCACTCAGGAATTACTCATGGCGGTGCTCGGGGGACCATGTGGGATGCTGGGAATCGAACCCAGGTTGGCCTCATGCAAGGCAAACACCCTACCCACTGTTATATTGCTCCAGCCCCTCTTTCTAACATTTTAAGAAACTCATATCTGGCTCCCGGGGTGACTGTTGTTTTACATTCTTTGTAGCAGGTGTTGATTTTGCACATCCTCATCCACTTTTGTTCTTGTTATTAACTCTTGGCCATGTTAATGGTGCAGATATTTTGTTGTGCTGGTGGTTTTAATTTGCACAAAAGTTCTAATAAAAAATTTAACTTTTATTTATTTTATTTATTTATTGAATCACCGTGGGAAAGGTTACAAAGCTTTCAGGTTTAGGTCTCAGTCATGCAAATATCAAACACATTTCCCTTTACCAAAACTTATTTTTTACCATGAAGAACCCCAATAAAACCCCACCCCCTACCCCTCCCAGTCCCTGTGGGGCAGATGAATTCTAGTTAACAATCTATCTGCTTTGATTAGATTCATTGTTTCAATAAAAGATTCACCACTATTATTTAGAGTTTACCCCCCCCCCAAATCAGACATGCTGAAAAAGCATTGTGAAGTGATTTGCTTTCTACAGCTGGGTTCAAGAATTATATGTTGGTTTTGGATTTCTGCTATTTTACTTATTGACCTTGGAAGTATTTCTACTGAAAGTCAGATAGTTAAGAAATTGGTTTCTGTGCTCTGGAGTCGTGGCCGTGCTGGAGAGCCGCTAGTGGGGGGCAACTGGTGGCCTCGGTAGGGCGTGAAGGGCGGACCGAAACGCCCCCCCCTTCCCATGAGGTTTTAGTCGCCCCCAGTCCTCCGGCTCATACCTGCTGTCCACAAGACTCCCATGCGGCCGCCATCTTTCTTTCCAGAGGGAGGAGGGCGGAAGGGACCAACACCCTTTCCCCTCCGGGCATACTTGATGGCCTGGATTAACACATAGTCCTTTCACTTTTCTGCTCCAAGCTGCCGGGTTCTGCATTAAGTCCTTGTGCTTCTGGGGCCGTGGCCGTGCTGGAGAGCCGCTCGCGGGGGGCAACTGGTGACCTCGGTAGGGCGTGAAGGACGGACCAGAACGCCCCCCTTCCCATGAGGTTTTAGTCGCCCCCACACTCCCGGCTCATACCTGCTGTCCACAAGGCTCCCATGTGGCCGCCATCTTTCTTTCCAGAGGGAGGAGGGCGGAAGGGACCAACACCCTTTCCCCTCCGGGCAGACATGATGGCCTGGATTAACGCATAGTCCTTTCACTTTTCTGCTCCAAGCTGTTGGGTTCTGCATTAAGTCCTTGTGCTTCTGGGGCTGTGGCTATGCTGGAGAGCCGCTCGTGGGGGGCAACTGGTGACCTCGGTAGGGCGTGAAGGACGGACTGGAACGCCCCCCTTCCCATGAGGTTTTAGTCGCCCCCACACCCCCGGCTCATACCTGCTGTCCACAAGACTCCCATGTGGCCGCCATCTTTCTTTCCAGAGGGAGGAGGGTGGAAGGGACCAACACCCTTTCCCCTCCGGGCAGACATGATGGCCTGGATTAACGCATAGTCCTTTCACTTTTCTGCTCCAAGCTGCTGGGTTCTGCATTAAGTCCTTGTGTTTCTGGGGCTGTGGCCGTGCTGGAGAGCCGCTCGTGGGGGGCAACTGGTGACCTCGGTAGGGCGTGAAGGACGGACTGGAACGCCCCCATTCCCATGAGGTTTTAGTCGCCCCCACACCCCTGGCTCATACCTGCTGTCCACAAGGCTCCCATGCGGCCGCCATCCTTCTTTCCAGAGAAGAGAGGGCGAATGGGGCAACACCCTTTCCCCTCTGGCAGACTTGATGGCCTGGATTAACGCATAGTCCTTTCACTTTTCTGCTCCAAGCTGCTGGGTTCTGCATTAAGTCCTTGTGCTTCTGGGGCTGTGGCCGTGCTGGAGAGCCGCTCGTGGGGGGCAACTGGTGACCTCGGTAGGGTGTGAAGGACGGACCGGAACGCCCCCCTTCCCATGGGGTTTTAGTCGCCCCCACACCCCCGGCTCATACCTGCTGTCCACAAGGCTCCCATGTGGCCGCCATCTTTCTTTCCAGAGGGAGGAGGGTGGAAGGGACCAACACCCTTTCCCCTCCGGGCAGACATGATGGCCTGGATTAACGCATAGTCCTTTCACTTTTCTGCTCCAAGCTGCTGGGTTCTGCATTAAGTCCTTGTGTTTCTGGGGCTGTGGCCGTGCTGGAGAGCCGCTCGCGGGGGGCAACTGGTGACCTCAGTAGGGCGTGAAGGACGGACTGGAACGCCCCCATTCCCATGAGGTTTTAGTCGCCCCCACACCCCTGGCTCATACCTGCTGTCCACAAGGCTCCCATGCGGCCGCCATCCTTCTTTCCAGAGAAGAGAGGGCGAATGGGGCAACACCCTTTCCCCTCTGGCAGACTTGATGGCCTGGATTAACGCATAGTCCTTTCACTTTTCTGCTCCAAGCTGCTGGGTTCTGCATTAAGTCCTTGTGCTTCTGGGGCTGTGGCCGTGCTGGAGAGCCGCTCGTGGGGGGCAACTGGTGACCTCGGTAGGGTGTGAAGGACGGACCGGAACGCCCCCCTTCCCATGAGGTTTTAGTCGCCCCCACTCCCCCGGCTCATGCCTGCTGTCCACAAGGCTCCCATGTGGCCGCCATCTTTCTTTCCAGAGAGGAGAGGGCGAATGGGGCAACACCCTTTCCCCTCCGGACAGTCATGATGGCCTGGATTAACGCATAGCCCGTTCACTTTTCTGCTCCAAGCTGCTGGGTTCTGCATTAGGTCCTTGTGTTTCTGGGGCTGTGGCTGTGCTCCAAACTTAACTATGATTTTCAGAGAGAAACGTTGGGTGGTTTACTTCCCATGGTTCACTTTGTATATAGAGAGATGTCTATATGATGGCTTACGCGGCTGTGCGGTTTTGAGGAAAAGTCCTAGTTCCCGCATACTCGAGCTGTGGTTGTAAAGGCTTCTGGTCACCGGGGTTCCATCTGGGGGAGGCGGGATGAGGTACCTACCCCATCTGGGGCTTCCCGATGATCTCGGCTCTTTTTGGAACCTGTTTTTTTTTTTCCTTCGGGATCTGTGGATCCCACCCTCCATGTTGTCCTTCTCTTCGGCTGAATCAAAATTTAACTTTTAGACATTTATGTATCATCCTTAGTCATTTCTACCCAAAGACTTTGCCCGTTTTTGAAAGGGGTGTTTTGTTTTGTCTTTGCATTGACATGGACCCTTTCTGCACCTCTTCGTTTTAGAGTGTTTTGCAAACAGTTCCTGCCAGTGTGTTTCTTGAATGGTGATTTTTGAAGAGCAAAGGTTTTTATTTCAGAAATGGTCCGATTTGACAGGTTTTTTTTTCTCATTTATGGATTATCTCAGGTTATTCTAGAAAGTGACAGCAACATAAAATGATGTTTATTCTGGGTCTGCATGTTATTTTAATGCACTTCCTTCTCCATCCTACAAAAAGAAGTCGTCTTCTTCTTAACCATTAAATTCTTAACTGCTCCAAAAACACACCAATGCATTGAAAGGCTTTTTCTGTTTTCTTACTTCAGTCCCATTTCAGTATTCCTTTAAAGAGTTTGACTGACGACTCTGGAAATTCAGCCAAAAGGGTGGTTTCAAAAAGTTGCTTGAATTTACCCAAAAACTCATAATCAGTACTGAGTCTGAACTTGTTTGCCCAGAGCAGCACAGTGCCCGGCTGGCAGAGGTGTGCCATGGTGCTGAGCAGCTGGTCCAAGCAGTAGTGATGGTACACCACATCGGTGGCCACCACGTAATCATAATAGAAGGTGGACTTGGGGAAGTTTCTCTCCAGGCCTTCTCCCCACACCAGTTCCTTCACGTCGGGCAGATGGGCTGCATGTCCCAGTGTGTTCTTCAGAAGGTTGTACTGGAGGTTTCCTAGGACATCGGGCATGTCTGTTGCTGTGACCTCAGCTCCTAGGAGAGGAAGAGAGACACTGCGAGCCATGGGCAGCCACAGAAAGTCCTCCTCTGGGGAGAAACAGGGGACAGCTGGATTAGCCTGGTTTATAGGGCATCGGGGTGAACATAATTCCAGATGGATCACACTCTTGATCACCGCTTGATTTTTCTTAGCTGCATCTCTGCTTTGCCCTCAGTAAGATGGGAACGTAACTGCCATGTAAGTGGACAAGATGTATTCTACTTTGCAACCTAAAAGAGAGTTGGTAATGCCTGCAACACAGATACCCAAGGTTCCAAGTCTCTCAGGGTTGTGAACCCTCAGCGCTGAGTCCCTTGGATGAGTGTGTATGGGTGTGTGACTAAAATCATGAAAACTCTGTCCTGTCTCTGTGTGCCTCAGTTGACGGCTGAGCTCAGGCTTGTGGAAGCTTAACACCACAACAGTCACAAGTTCCCCCAGACTTGTATGTCTAAATGTCCTCCAAACAGTGGCAACCTCGGACTGAGACATACTGGACAAAGATGACATTTCTGCCTGTCAAAACTTCAATTCAGGAGTGGTGCTGAGACTCAGTGGGCTGAGAGCAGGCTAGACACATAGGATGCTTGCTTCTGTCCCCAGCACTGCACAGACCCCAGGAACCACAGTGAGCAACCCCTGAGCACTGAGAGGGTCTACTGACCACTCACCACTACGTCTGGTATCTGTAAACACTCTTGTTCCTAGTCTTTTTCTTGTATAATTGATGTTCTTTGAAATCGTTAATGCATAACAGGGCTTAGTTTTTCTGTTTTGTTTAAAACAGAAAATAAGAAGAGTGCAAATTCCTTTCTCATTTCAAACCTCAAGACCGTTAGCGGAATACGCTGAAGTCATCCTCATTGCTTAGCCTAATGATTCGTCGTAGTTTCCTTCTCAAATTAGATTGCTCTGAGGATTTGGGCTCTTCCCTCATTTCCTTTCTACAGATGATGGGTCCATGCTGTGTGACTTCTTCTCCTACCTAATCCATCACCTTGAAATGCTTCTTAACATAAGAACAGAATCTCAGACCCGAGACCAGCCCTTTTTTCCAGACTGCATACAGAGAACTGCCATGGAGCTGCCCAGAATGCACATCACTCCTGCTTGGAACCCCGGAACTCATTTCCTGTATCTGGAGTATGAATCTTCTCCCGCTGGGACTCACTCACTCACTCTCTTCACAGTACTGCTTACATGGTAGGCAACAGCCAGCAGGGACAGCCTGGGATGCTGTTCACAGGGGGATTCTCGGGTCACACCTCACAGAGCCGCCACATCCCCCCAGGTGCCTCTTTTTTATATATAATTTTTTAAAAATTTTAATGAATCACCATGAGATACAGTTACAGACTTCCAAATCTGCATGATTATGTTTCCGTCACACAATGTTCGAGCACCCATCCCTCCACCCTTACCCATTCTCCACCACCAATGTTCCCAGTATGGTAATGGCTGCAACACAGATACCCGAGGTTCCAAGTCTCTCATGGTTGTGAACCCTCAGCGCTGAGTCCCTTGGATGAGTGTGTATAGGTGTGTGACTAAAATCATGAAAACTCTGTCCTGTCTCTGTGTGCCTCGGTTGATGGCTGAGCTCAGGCTTGTGGAAGCTTAACACCACAACAGTCACAAGTTCCCCCAGACTTGTATATATCCCTCCCACCATCCCTCATCTTCCTCTCCCCGCCACCCACCGCCTCTGTGGCAGGCGCATTCCCTCTTACTCTCTCTCTCCCTTTGGGTGTTACGGTTTTTAATACAGGTACTAAGTAGCCATCATGTTCAATCCATAGTCTACTTTCAGCACACACCTCTCATCCCGAGGGTGTCCTCCAAGCATCATTGACTTAGTGGTTCCTTCTCCATCCCAGCTGCCTTCTCTCCTAGCAGGTGATACCAGTTTCCAAGCCATGGAACAATCCTCCTGGCCCTTATCTCCAGGGACCTCTTTAACTCAGGGCTCCAGTCTTCGCTCTGGGATAACGTGGTGATAGCTGGCCCCTGCAATTTCGCAGGGATCTGGAGCATGGCATCATGCTCCAGCCCCGAAGCCACCGTGCCTCCTGGCACTGCCCTAGCAGCCTTGTACACGTGATCAGAGAGATACCAACCTAAAATGCTGGCCACAATGGACACCAGGCCTGGTCCAGCACCAAGTTCAATGACCTTCGCCTGCTGGAGATTCAGCTCCTCTGTGTGTTCCTCCAAATACTGACATAAAGCTGTAGCCTGGAAAAAAAAGAAATAAATCTTTGACGGTCAGTGCCCGGTGGGGGCACCCACACTCCATCCCAAGGATTTCACAGTGAGACTCGGGACGAGGAGCTTCCAAGTGGGACCTGGGATGGAAATGTGCACACAGGCGCCAGGTTGGGGTGACTGGAGAGGGAGACGCGCATGCGTGCTTGCACAGATGAACCCACAGCAGCTGGGGCTGCCTGGTGTCCAGGAGATAAAATGCAGTTGAGTGCTGACACCCCCGGCAGGTGGCCTGGCCTCTTGCTCTGAGGCAGCCTTGCTGGCTTCCCCTCACCCCCCCACCCCTCCACGCTTTCCCAACGTTGAGGTCGGAGGTCAGCCCCAGCTCCCTGCTTGCTTTGATCAGGGTGGACATGGGGTAGGACACTGCTAGAGCCACCGACTGGGCCGTGTGGTGGAGGTGGGTTGGGGTGGCCTAAGTTCTTTGAGTTCATCGAACATCTTCAACATTTCATCTCTGAATTCCTTATCGGAAAGATCATATTTGTGAGGAAACAACGGTTGAGGCTTCTGGATTCTTCTTCGTGGTGGGGATTTTTGCTATTTTTTTTCTTTTTTAAAAAATTTTATTGAATCAACAGTGAGATAGTTACAAGCTTTCACTTTGGGTTACAATCACGTGTTGTTGTGGTAGTAAGGAGGTGTGACCTAAACAACTGAAGCAACCCTCCCGGAGGCCACGCCCACTGCCGCGGAGGCCTCGCCCCTTGCAGCACTGTAGGTCCCAAGGGATGCTGGGAGGTGCTGCCTTCTGGGTTCCCAGTATGGGTGTGGGGGGAATGGGGGCGCCGGCGGTTACCGTCTGCAAACCTTATGGAGGGAACCGGTAGCGCATGGCCAGCCCGCGCCTTTTTTAAGTTCTATGGTCAGTGCCCAGGTAGAAAAAGGTTGAACCCACGGGCCAGAGTGCTAAGGCTTCTGTGAGGGCATTTGTCCTGCACATAGGCAACCCGGGTTCAACTCTGCCATCCCATATGGTCCCCGAGCACCACCAGGAGTGATTCCTGAGCGCAGAGCCAAGAGGAACCCCTGAGCATCGCCGGCTGTGACCCAACCTCTGGTCTAAAACGCACATCGGCCCCCAGAGCAGCGGATGAAGCCGGCCCCTTAGCTCTTCTCTGCTCCTGCTGACCAGAGAAGCGCGTGCACAGGCGAGTGGGTCCTTTCTCTGTCATTTCTGCTCGTGGGACTGGGAAGGACGGGTGGGGGGAATAGGCAGAGGGGATGGTCAGGTGAGGCTGCTGGGCACTGTGGGATGAGCAGCCGTGAAAATAGGGGTGACTCTCCAACAAGCGGGTGTAGGTCAGATTCACGGGGGGCCCAGCAACCCTTCCAGTGCCCCAGGAGGAGTCTTCCTGGGAAAAGGGGGGTTTGTAGATTTATTTTGGCTTTTGGGACACACATGACTGTGCTCAGGGCTTACTCCTGGCTTTGTGCTAAGGGATCATTCCTGGCGGTGCTCAGGGATGACCCCCTGGGGTACTGGGGAATTTAACTCAGGTTAGCTGTGTGCAAGGCAAGTGCCCAACCTGCTGTCCTATCTCTCCATCCTGTCGAAGGGGAGTTCCAGATGGGAGAAATTCTTTGGTTTTAGAGGACTAAGGACAGTGGTTCCTATTTGGGGTATGTGTGTGTGTGTAGGGGACGGGGGTTGTGCATTGAGAAAAGGCAGCCCTTGCCAGAGTGATAGCACAGTGGGAAAGTCGTTTGCCTTGCATGTGGCTGACCCAGGTTCAATTCCCAGCATCCCATATTGTCCCCCAAGCACCCAAGTTACAAGGAGTAAGTCTTTAGTGCAGAGCCAGGAGTTACCCCTGAGTATGGCTGGCTGTGACCCCAAAAAAGTGAAAGAAAGGAAGGAAGGAAGGAAGGAAGGAAGGAAGGAAGGAAGGAAGGGAGGGAGGGAAAAAAAGGAAGGAAGAAAGAAAAAGAAAGAGAGAGAGAGAGAAAGAGAGAGAAAAGGGAGAGTCCCACAGCAGGGCTTGGAGAATGCTTCTCTTTAAAGCCTCTTTCTCTTCAGATGAGAAATTTCCACACTACCCTAGGCATACGGGCATAGAACATTGGTAAAAAATATTTTTTACTGATATGAACCATCAATATGTTTATTCCCAAAACAAGCTTCTTAAAGTTATGTGACCCTGGGTCTGGAAGATAGTAGAGGGCTAGGATGCAGGCCTGGCATGTGCCTGACCCAGGTTCAATCCCCAGCACCACAGGAATGGCCCCTGGGCATCACTGGACACAGCCCTGGAGTCCCCTAGCACCACTGGGGTGACCCATATATCTCCACACTGCAGAACCCAAGAAACACCCCATCCTCGGGACCCTTGCTGTCAACCATGGTCCTACTAACCAAGAATCCTTGCTGGAACACCCGGACATCCTAAGCTTTCCTTGGGGGAGAGGAATAAAAGTTGTGTGAGAGGGCCTGGAGCGATAGCACAGCAGGTAGAGCATTTGCCTTGCACACAGCCAACGTGGGTTTGATTCTCAGCATCCCGTATGGTCCCCCGAGCACAGCCAGGAGTAATTCCTGAACTCAGAACCAGGAGTAACCCCTGAGCATTTCTGAGTGTGACCCAAAAAGAAAAAAAATATGTGAGCCCACCATACAGCATTGTGACAGCTGGATCCCGCATTCTCATTCTCAGCCCCCTGCATTCCAACTTTAAATGTATCATCCCTTTTGTTTTCCATGGGGCAGCCTTCTCCTGTCTCTCCCTTCTCTCCGCTCTTTCCTAAGTAAGCTATTTGACTTCCCCCAGAACGGGGTGGGGTGGGGGGTGCCAGGCAGCAGTAGTGAGAGGCTGCAGCGCCATCAGAGATGATGTTACGATGAGCAGTGGCTGCCCCTGGGGGCAACCAGTAATGGGCGTGCTTCTGACGTGGTAGACACCGCCCCTCTGCCGAGCGTCCCAGCAAAGCCAGAGAAGAGGCCCTTCCACGGCCCCCAAGAAGACGGGGCTCCTGCTGGCACAAACGTCTCCTCTGCACGTTCCAGGCCACCAGGTACCATGAGCACTGAGTTTGGTGCATGGAAGGCTGTGGTCTGATTGAGAAGACCCATCCTGGAGAACAAGTATTCTATTTCTTCACGGTCTCTTATTCCCGTTGGGGCTGCTGTGTGCCACAGAGGGGCCAGAGGGGGCATCTCCAGAGAAAAACTTGCTTGAAGTGACATGCAGGTATGGAAGCAGAGCTCAGGTGAGAAGTCTCTGCCCTTGAACGCAAAGGGCAGAGACCCCACAGGTGCCCCTATACTCTACCCTCTTTGCCCTTATTTGCCACCATACCCCAGGTTGCCCAAGAAAGCTCCACGGGACCCCTAACCAACTACTCAACATGCTTTCAATGGAACCCTGATCACCACCACTCAGCAGGCTTCCACAGAACTTGGGCACGGCCACTGAAGGTGTTTCCACAGAATCTAATCACAGCTATTCAAGGTGCTTCCACGGAACCTGGTCACAGCTATTCAAGGTGCTTCCACGGAACCTGGTCACAGCTACTCAAGGTGCTTCCACAGAACCCCAGCCACAGTTACTTGAGCCCTTTCCACAGAACCTGGACCACAACTACTCAAGGTTCTTCCATGGAACCTGGTCATAGCTACTTGAGATGCTTCCATGGAACCCAGCCACAGCTACTCAAGGTGTTTCCACAGAACCTGGGTCACAACTACATGAGGCGCTCATACAGAATCCAGCCATAGCTACTCGAGGTGTTTCTACGGAATCCAGGACACAGTTACTCAAGGTGTTTCCATGGAAACTTGACCAGTACTCAGCAGGCATCTGCAGAACCCCTGGCCCAATGCTAATCAACCCTAATCAGCTACTCAGCATGCATCCATGACACCCCAATCAATCCTCAGTGTGCATGCGCAGAACCCCTACCAATTACTTAGGGTTTATTCACAGAACCCCTGACCACAAATGCTTGAAAAACAAAATACCTGGTGTTTCTTTTGCAGCAATTCATAAGAATTTTTCATCCCATTTCTGATATATTCAAGTCTTTTTTTTTAATGTTAACAGTGTTTTCAAAAGCATCGCCCAGAGGAAAATGACTGTTTCTGGGTAAGAGGCTATCCTTTTTCAGAACCCCAAAAGACCACCCGTGCCCCATGGGGACAGCATTGACCCCCCTGACTGAATACTAAGGCACAGGGCCATGCAGGGATGGAGCTGCCCACCCCACCCCACTGCCCTGCCACCCCGAGCTCCTTCTCTCACCGCCGGCCACACCAGCGCTCCATAGCTCTCGATAGATTCCTGAAGGATGAGCTTTCTGCCAGCGAACACATAGCTCTCCTCAGTGTAGCTGGCATAATTTGTGGGAACAAATTTCTGGAGGCTTTGAAGAGATGGTTCTGTGACGCTCGAATCTGTGGGCAGAAAGTGAATCTCAGAAATTGTTGAGTGACTATAATTAATTCTACGGCAGAGATGACTGGCGAGAGGAGAATAATCCTCACACAGAGACTACACTGGATTCAGTGATGATAACCAAGTGTTAGGAAAACCACGACCTGACATCGATACAGATGTGACTCTTTCAGGCTCTGAAGTAACACTCGAGACTGCCCTAGCAAGCACCAGGGAAGCACGGGGCTGGGCCCAGCTCCTGAGTGGACGAGGAGCCAGCGCCCAGCAGGAGAGCACAGGGGAGCTACCAGGATAGGCCGAGCACAGCAAACACAGCCTATTTTTAGGTTATGGAGCCAAGGCACAGTCTCACATGCTGGCTGGCCTGTGGACTCTGATCCTTCCTATAACTTCCCCTCAAAAGGTGAGGTCACCCAAAGATGGCCCGGCCCCAAAGGCATGGGGGAGGTGGTGAGCTGAGCCGGGGCTATTAAGTTACTCTGGCTTTAAATACAACTTTACACGCTGACCCTCTTGCAGCTCTCAGATATCATATGAGAGCAAAGAGCATCTGATCGGGTGGCCTTCGTGGGGGTCAGATGGTCGCGGGACCAAAGAGCACAGCGACCCCGTTACATGCCCAGCACTGCTTTGGGTACCCAAAGCATACCAGAAGGGATCCCTAAGCACAGAGCCAGGAGTAAACCCTGAGCACTCCTGGGTGTGACCCAAAACCCCATTCCCCCCAAAAAGAATGAAAGAAGAGTGATTCCAGCAAGAAGAATTCAGGGTCTGGCTAGGCTTGCACTAGGGATCCCACAGCGGCAGAGGACAAGCTGTAGGCACCAGTGGTGAGAAGGAACCAGGAGCCCAAAGTCACTGCTTTGTTACTTGAGAGACGTAAGAGATTTAAAAATACAAGTGGTACTACATGGAAAGTTTCATGTTAAGTGAAATGAGTCAGAAAGAACGGGATAGACACAGAAAGATTGCATTCATCTGTGGAACATAAAGTAACAAAATCGGAGACTAACACCCAGGAGTGGCCGAGATTAGGACCAGGAATTTTGCTCCATGACTTGGAGGCCAGCCACATGTGCTCGGGGAAAAGGAAGCTCAGATAGAGAAGGGAACACCAAATAAAGGGTGTTGGGAGGATCCTCCCAGGATGGGAGAAGCATGCTGAAAGTAGATTATAGACCAAACATGATTGCCACTCAATGCCTCTCTTGCAAACCACAGGACCCAAAAGGAAAGAGAGAGAACAAAAGGGAATGCCCTGCCACAGAGGCAGGGTGGGATGGGGGGACGGGGAGTAGGAGGGATGCTGGGACCTGTGGTGGTGGAGGATGGGCACTGTTGGAGGGATGGGTACTTGATCATTGTATAACACAGCGGGTAGGGCATCTGCCTTGCACGCAGCCAACATGGCCGACCCGAGTTCGATTCCTCCGCCCCTCTCGGAGAGCCCGGCAAGCTACCAAGAGTATTCGATATGCCAGACACAGTAACAACAAAGTCTCCAATGGAGACGTTACTGGGCCCGCTCGAGCAAATCGATGATCAACGGGAGGGCCTTTAACTGAAACCCAAGCACAAAAATTTGTAAGTCTATAACTGTACCTCATGGTGTTTCACTAATAAAAAAATAAATAAATAAATAAATCTTATATTGACGAAGTGGCATTGGTTTAGAGCATCTATGTCCCAGAACACGGCTTTATACTTTGAGTCTCTACATGCTACAAGCATGATCATACAATACCCAGCCCCCCCCCCCCCCAGTTCAGGTCTTGCTCCCTCCACCCCATCCCTTTAGCAGCCACTGATCCATTGTCTGTACATCAGAGGTGGGAGGTGGTGGTGCTGGTTCTGCCTTGTTTGTTTTAGATTTCACATCTAAGTGAAATCAGACACATTTGTCTTTCTCCTCCCACTTTATTTCACTCAGTGAGTCTCCCTGAAGGTGCATCTGGCGGAGAGGTCCTTCCTGGGACACTTCTTCTCAGGAAAGGAATGCAGGCTTTGGAAATCAGCTAAAAGGAGTGTTTATGTCACATCTGTAGCCCCCCAGTCAGAGACATCTATGCAAGAGGCAGAGGTGGGGAGAGGAGGGCACAGACACATGGTGAAGGATGGGGAGCTTGGAGACACCTAGACTGAGGGCATCAGGAGTCACTCAATTCCACATCCACAGGGCTACTTCTGTGCATCTAGGCTGCACCTCATTTATAATGGGGTCATGGGAAGTAGAATCCACTCCTGGGCCACCTTCATGGCGACTTGATCCTATCATGGCAATCCAAATAAATGACAGGTTTGTATTTTGTGCATGCTTGCAAGAAATTCATGTTTGTTCCATTTTTACCAAAAGCCCAAAGGTGGTTAGCCACCATGTGGGCAAAGCAACATTCTGGTAATGAGCACAACGGGTGTGTTGGGCTGCCATGGGTCCTGACTTAGGGTGTTCTGTCCCCAGAAGGAGGATTCTCTGTTCTGACCATAAAAGTTCATTTCTCTAGAGACCCAAGAGCTGACTGATCTTCCAGGAACCTAACAAGAAGAGAGAGCTTACAGGGTAATCAATCAATCAATCAATCAAAGAAGTTGATCCACAGTGGCAGGGTCTGTCTAAACTGTCTAAGACCGGGCTCTCCACAGCACATGGCATGGTTGTAGGACAGCAGGAAGGCCAGAATTGGCCATGTGGGGCTCAACTCTGCCTTTTGTGGGAAGCCTCTGACCTCTGGTCTCAGGAAGCAATGTCTGAGAGTAACCAGAGACATATGATCGCTCTCCAGGTAGGAGTGCTGCCTTTGGATTCTTTCCTGAAGAGTAGGTGGGCAAAGAAACAGGCCATGGTGCATGGTGGGTGAGCTGGATGACAGGGTTCACCCATGCCTGCTGTGTAGACCCTCCCCCAGCGGGAACTGCGCACTACCTCTGCTTCACCAGTAAGACAACAGCGATGCCTTGGAGAACACAGATAAGGAACGCAGAATAACAGAATTCCTGAGGAGTTCTGAGGATAGCTTATTTCCTTCCTCCTCCCCACACCCATGCCCTGGTGCATTTTCTAGAAATGTATTTTACTGTAAATGTATAGAACTTAAATATTAGTGCTGGAGCGATAGCACAGTGGGAAGGGTGTTTGCCTTGCAGGTAGCCGACCCAGGTTCAATCCCAGCATCCCATAGGGTCCCCCGAGCACCGCCAGGAGTAATTCCTGAGTGCAGAGCCAGGAGCAACACTGATGTGACCCAAAAAGCAAATATATAATGGCCATGCTTAGACTAGCTTGCGAATTTCCTGAAACTGAGACATAATTCAGTGGGCACAAGCTGTGGGTAAAGGGTTTCTGCTCTCATCATCTTTAGAGTTCTATCACCGGAGCTGATGAGTGGGAGCTGCCAGCAGGCACGGATGCCAGCCTCTGAGCTCCCCTCCTGTCACTGTCACTCACGCCATCCCTTCCTCCTGTCCCCTCCCATGCTACCGTGGGAAGACTCATCTTTCTCGCCAGACCAGGTCATGCCAACAGACTCATTTTGAAGGGATCATGGTTTCATGAGTAAATAAACTGACAAATTAAAAGCCCTCAGAGATTTCTCCAGCAAACACTGTCAAGAGAAGAATAAATAAAGCTCCTCCACAAGGCCCTTTGAAGTGCTCCACAGAGACATGTATCCCTTTGCACATTAAACATTTTCATTTTCATTATCTTTACGATCTTGATAGCTCAGAAATTTTACAGATGCGTAGAGTTGCATTTTTAAGTTAAGAGTTTGATAAAATATACTAAGAGTGATAATGATAACAACAACATCCTGACTCAGTAGAGCTGGAACATAATTTTACCATTTGAAGTGATTGTGAAGAATTTTAAATTCTTCTTTTAGGACAGAAGTTTTTCTATTAATTTTCTCGCCCGAGTTCCTCCCCAGAGAGGTCCCAAAGGACGAGTACTCTGTGCTTTATGAGATTCTGCCCTGAATAAGACATGTTCTTGGGGAAAGGAAGAAAACACTTTAGATTTTCTTTCTTCTTAAAAGTTCTGAATTTTGTCTCCTTTTAAAATGTCTTATTTCAGAGATTGGAGAAACAGCAAGAAGGGCATTTGCTTTGCCTGTGGCCAATGTGGGTCCCTCAAGCCCACCAGGAGTGACCCCTGAACACAGTCAGGAGGAAGCCCTCAGTACTCCAGGGATGACCCAAAAACCAACGAAAAATTTTAATTACAAAACTGTGATAATCTCAGATTTATATACTAGACAAAAAACCCCATAAAGTTTGATAAGCCCACAGTGAACAAATAGGAATTACTTTTACATTGCTACTTATGTTTGCATAAATACCATTTTTTAAAAATAAAATACCTTTATTTTTTCTTAAAGCTTCACTAGGAGAAAGATCTAGCTGAATGTTAGGTAGAAACACTGGGGTGATCAATTTTCAGTCTTACATAAATAGAAAAATCACGATGGTGCACATCTAAAACGAAGGCTGCATGTCAATCACAGCACACACTTTTTCTAATTTAGGGCTTAAAGTAAATGAAAAGTTTTGTCACTGGGATTGGAGAAGCGTCTATTTCCCAGGAAACGCTGCAGACGGTGTTGCAGGAAGGAGTTACCTGGGAGTCCCCGGGCGCTGTCCTCTGGCAGTGGACTCTCCTCGGTCACTTCTCCCCAGCTGCCTGGGGGGCTCGGGCCACCCCCTGGGCGCTCCCCATCCAAGCTCAGACACGCGTCCATTCCCGGAGCCTGCTGGGGAGAAGAGAACCAGGAGCCTCAGCGAGCTCTGAAGGGGGACTTAGCACCTTCCCATCGGCTGAGCTGCAAAGGACACCTGCGTGTCAGCTTCGTGCCGGTGGCCAGAGGCCGTCTCGGGGGCGCGGAGCAAAGGAGAAAAGTCAAGGAGCAACCAGACTCAGGCAGCAGAGTCCGTTCTCTGCCCCGAGCAAAGCTGGTGCAGCTTTGGGCTGTGGACGTGCTCGGAGCGCTGGAAATGGGCCTCCTAAGGGAGCCCCTGCAGAGGCTCCGTGACATCCCCCGTGTGAAGCCTGGACCCGGAGCCGCCTCGGGCTTCTCCCCTTCTCATCTGAGCTTTAGTGCCAGACCACAGAAAGTGCTTGGGGCCAAGGGCCAGGCGCTGCCTTTGGCTCCCGCTACACTGCACTTGGCAGCTCTGTTCATCTCCTCCTGCCATTTCTTCATCAGCAAAATGCCAGTCAGATGGGCTCAACTCCCAGGGCCGCGGAGGTGACAGTGATAGCCCAGGGAGTCCACAGGAGACCCAGTGGTCAGCGCTGCCCGCCCACCTCGTAGAACAGCGGCTGTGGGACCCTTGGGCTTGGGTCTCCTGCCAGGGAATAAAAAGAAACAGGACTCGTTTGTGGAATATAAAATAATATAATATGAGACTGGTATCCAAGGACAATAGAGACAAGGACTTGGAATATTGCCCCATGGTTGGCAGCCTGCCTCATGAGTGGGGGGAGAAGGCAGCTGGGATAGAGAATGGATCACTAAGTCAATGATGGTTGGAGGGATTGTTCGGGATGGGAGATGTGTGCTGAAAGTAGATAAAGGACCAAACATGATGGCCTCTCAGTATCTGTATTGCAAACCATAATGCCCCAAATTAGAGAGAGAATATGGGGCAAATTGTCTGCTATTGAGGCAGGGGGAGGGATGGGATAGGAGGGATACTGAGGACATTGGTAGTGGAGAATGCACTGGTGGAGGGATGGGTGTTCAAACAGGAAAGCTTTATAAATGTATCTCATAGTGATTCAATTAAAAAAAAGGAGGAAGGAAGTGATGGGGAAGAGCCCCCAGACTATATTTTGAGCAGGACATGCCAAGGGCCAATGGAGTCTGGGCGATGTGATGTAACCACGGAGTGCTTCCGGGATGTCTTCCAGACTGTCAGAGTCTTGCTCTGGGACCTTGGTGACTGGGTTCTTATCCCAAATGTGTTCATGGCGTTCGAAGCCCAGACCTTGCTCTGCAAAGTGACAGTGCTTCGGAGTTTCTGCTCTGTACTTTCCTGCCAGCTGCCCACACGCACCCGAGCACTGCCAGATGCAAGAACTCTCACCTTTGTTCTGAGCCCAGTTCTTCTGGAGCATGAACTTGGTTAGGTCTGCCCATGGAATAAACTGATTTTCCCACCTCTCAATGGCTGCTGCTTGTTTTTCCACTGGCTTTTGGTGAGAATTTTGACAACAGAAGAATGTTCCTGAAAGAACCATAATTGTCTCTTTTTTTTTTTAAAGAAGAAAGACTAGCACAAAATTTAATCTATAAAATAGCTAAACTGATAGAAGGAAATAAAGTGCGTGCTAAGAGAGAATGAGCTATATCCTAATTAAGATGATGATTTGGTTTGATAGAGTTGAAACACTTATAAATGATCTGTGATCCTTTACTTTTTGTTTAAACTGAAGGGGGGTGGGGAGGAGAGTAAGAGAGCAGCTATATTTGGATCATTATTTTTCCTTTTGGTGGTGCTAAAGGCTTTACATGGAATCAACACCTTATGAGTGTTATCTCTCATGAAATGTGCATTTCATCATGTTCATCTATCTTCTGAGTGAAACGAATATGACACTTTCTCCTGTTTCTCTCCAACTCCTCAAAGACACTGCAAGATGAACAACTTCTGTTCTCCACTCCAGTGTAATCGAGTATTTCCGACTGTATTGTCTGCATATTGAGGCATGATGCAACCTTTCTTGGGGCGAGGCCACTGTTTTGTTATTTCGAACCCCAGAGTGATTCATCTGTCTAGTATGAAGAGATGGTCCCATGTCGGTGCCCTTGATAATGTCACCATTGTTGCTGAGCTGGGCAGAGAACCAAGCCTGTAACCAAATCAGCTGATCCTTGACACATGTGTAAAGCACTTAAGCCCCTTTGCCAATCCAGGTGTCCTCTTGCACGGACTTGATGACTGAATTTTGATTTCCACTCAAGGGTTTCGGTTAACATTGTGGGGAGAGATTAGTGAAGGCTAGACTTGTTACCTTTTCTTCTAGAAAATTAAAATAGAAGGCACCCAACTGTCAAAATTAAAGTGTCTACACTGAAATGCTATGTCCTTGGCCACCAGCATTCTCCATTCAAGGAGTCCATGAGTCTCCCCTGATACTTCATTGTCCCCCAAAGTCCATAGTTTACAAGAGGTTCCTTCTTGGCGAGATATATTCTGTGGGTGTTGACCAACACATAAGGCCATATAGCTACTGCTATAGTATCATTCAGAATTTTTGTTTCCCCCCAAATATCCCTGTTGTACCCATCAATCCCTCCCTTTCTTCTGCACCCTGACAATCACTGATCTTTTTACTGTAGCCATAGTTTTGCCTTTTCCAGAAAGTCACTTGGTGAGCACTGGCTTCTTCCACTTTGTAATTTGCATTTATGATTTGTTCATGTTGTGTAAGGGTCTATAACTCAGCTGCTTTTTAATGGTGACTGGTATTCCACTTTCTGAAGTATTGAAGGGTATCCTGCTTACTGCTGACTTCTGGCAATAATGAATGTGGTTGGGAATAGGGATAAGTATTGAGGAGTTGGACTGCTTTCTGTCACTGTGAGAGTGTGATAGTTTTGTAAGAACACCCCCAGACTGTCCTCAAAGTAAAAGTACCACTTTGCATTTCACCTTGGGGCCGGAGCAATAGTACAGTGCGTAGGGTGTTTGCCTTGCACACTGCTGACCCGGGTTCAATCACTGTAATCCCATATGGTCCCCCAAGCACCACCAGGAGTAATTCCTGAATGCAGAGCCAGGAGTAACCCCTGAGCAATGCTGGGTGTTACACAAAAATAAATAAACAAATAAAAAGCATTTCACCTTGTATAAATAATTTCAAATTTTTTAAATTTTTATTTTATTTTTAAGTTAGTTTACAGTTTTGATTACATTTAATATTCAAACACCAATCCCACCACCATTACACTTTCCCACCACCAAATTTAGAATATTTCCATCCCAAGCCCCAATCCCTGTCTCAAAACACAACCAAACTAATGTATTTTGTGTTGTCTGTTATGAAGAATTGCTGAACATACTTACAAAAAAGTATTCATATAGAAAACAGTGTGAATATTGTTCTATTTTGGTAGAAGCCATTAAGATATTCTATAGGATATCACTAACCTGTTGTTAAAGTTTGGGTGATATGAGCTTTGGTATGTATATATATGAAAATATGTATACATGTGCATATATATATATATATATTTCCCTCTATGATTTGTTGCCTACTATCTGGACCCCATCAAATGTGGTGTGGTAATTATGGAGAATGGGTAGGAAGTGTCTTATAATGTGTCCAGAAATATGTTCTCTCATATGTGAGGCGCGGCCTGAGCTTGTGGGGAGTGGCCTTGAGCATGGCAGTGGTTGGTTTGTGGAGGTTTTCAGCTGCCCGAGCTGGGTGCCTTGGGGCAGGGAGGGCTCTCGCCTGCCTCACTCTGGGATGCCCCGAGTGAAAACAGCCTGATACAGAGTCCAGTGGCATGGCTATGGGGGCCTCATTTTATGCTCCCTTCAGAGAGAAGCAACTGTGTGATCTGGATGGTGGCCACTGACAAGCTTATCTGGAGCCAGCAGGAGGTGGCTTGTGGGTGTGACCCCTAGGTCACCAGAGACTGGGGAAAGTGGGCAGAGGATCTCTGCTCCTGGTCCCAATGAGCCCAGAGTCCAAAGTCACAGAGTTCCCCATTACCTGAGTACTGTGGGACTTCACTCATGCATTAGGCTGGGCCTGAGCATTGGGGATTGGCCTTGAATGTGGCGGTGGTGGTTGGGCTGTGGAGGTTTTCGGCTGCTGGAGCTGGGTCCCTTGGGGCGTATTTTCAAATATTTTTGCATGCTGTCTTTTATTTTGCTACTACTATTATCATATTATTGAGGATTTTTATGTTGCGTTGCTGGCTTTTGTGGCAAAGGGCGGGGGCACATCCTGGCTTTGCACTCAGGTGTCACTCTTGGCAGGCTCAGAGGACCATATGAGGACCATATGAGATGCCGTACGAGGTGCCGGGCCAGAGTCCAACCTGCCACATGCTATTACTCTGGCCCCAAGGCTTTTAATTTTTATGATGCTAAATCAGCTCCCAGAATTCTTGTGTTTGAAGATGGTCATGTCAAAGACCTTCGAAATGGACTAACTGATGCAGTCTCATGGCTGCCCCCCACGAGCGGCTTCAGAGGCAAAAGGACTTAATCCAGAGCCCAGCAGCTTGCGGCAGAAAAGTGAATGGACTATGCGTTAAACTATGGTGCCATGCCTCCCTGGGAGGGAAGGCGTGTCGATCCCTTCTGCCTTCCCCGCCCTTCTCCCCCCCCCCCCCCCCCCCCCCCCGCAGCAAGGTGGCTGCCGCCTCAGAGCTTATTGGAAAGCCAGGTATGAGCCAGCGGTGACGGGGCAACTGCAGTCTCATGGGAGGGGGACGGTACTGGCTCGTCCTTCACACCCTACCGAGGTCACGAGTTGCCCCCCACGAGCGGCTTTCCAGCATGGCCATAACACCAGACTCACAGAAATCAATCTCGTAATTATCTGGAAGTCCCTCCAGACTTACCTAGTAAAATATCAGAAAATCCAAAATCATGCAGTCGCGAACATCATATGGTTCTCATAACCAGCTATAGAAAAAAAATTATTTCACAATGCCTTTTCATCAATTCTGATTGTTGGGGGGAAATTCTAAACAATAATGGTGTATCTTTTGTCGAA